TTTTTATTTATTTATTTTTTTTTTTTGTTCTCTTTTTGAAAACCCCATTTTGTGCAATTCTATTTTTATGTCAATTTCTTGATTGTGATTCACTTTTCATAGAACTTAATAGTGAATAGAAATTAGATGCAAAGCAAGGTGGGTAACAAAAAAGCTAACTTTATATTTACTTCTGTTGGGAAAATTCTTACCTATTTGTGTGTGTGTGTGTGTGTGTGTGTGTGTGTGTGTGTTATCATAGTGGGATGACATTAAATATTATGGAAGAAAACATGAATATTTTTGTTTCATGTTTAAAAGGACTAATGAAAATGGGCTCTCCTATTTATCTGCTGGATGGGTTTAAGCTTGTAAGCACATTTACTAGATTATTACAACTAAAGCAGCATATAGAGATTCTAGCAAAAGTGAATTTTTCATTTGTGTTACTTTGATGGAGTTTGAGTGGGGACAGTAGTTTCTAGTACACTCACTGCCTGTGATTTTATAAATCTAATTTTCCTGGCCATGGTTATATATTTCTGTGATTTTATACATTTTTTTTGTCATATTCTTGAGGAACTTAATCATCTGATGAAATTCATGATTCGTGATTTCGTTGGGAAGAAAGAATCATGCTGATTTAAATGTCGAGTAACAGGGGAAAGTTGTCGACTTTTACCCGTTTCTTGGTGGATTTGTTGTTATATCTGTATGTATTCAAGATATATCATCCAACATAAAACTCACACCTTAAAAGTGTGTATGCACTAGCAGCATCTCAATTTCTTGTTCAAATGACATAATTCAGCCTCAGATTAGTCACTTTCAACATGATTCAAAAACTGTATCACCCCAGATTGCAATTTATTTATTTATTTAATGTTTTGTGTTATTACAGGACCTATGGTCCGGTGGTGACCTGTTCAAGCCACCCGAGCCCATAATTGAGGACCCCACATTCGGGCCCGACTCGATTATCGAGTCGTCGATCGAGAGCGGGTGCCTCTTAAGCGAGGTTTTTTACGAGTGCCGAAAGGATCTATTGGCTAAGGAAGGCAATGGAATGCCGTTATCTGAGGATCTGAAAATCGATATCCCGAACGAGGATAGGTTTCTTGATTTCCCGGTCTCGGTCTATGGAATGCGTAGAGCGTTTAGTGAAGGAGACATAAAGGTTGATTATTTATTTACTTATTTACTTTTGCCTTTTTGTGCAAAAATGCTCTTTAGCTTTAGTCTAATTACAAGGAAGTAACTAAAAAAAATATTCTTCTTGACTATACCATTGGACATTTGTTGCAGTTTTATAATGTCAAGGGGTATTTGTTATATTTTCTTTGGAAAAAAAAAAAGTTAATTTATGGTAGAAAATCTTTACAGTAACTACAAATATGGCTAAATGTAAAATGTTAGATCATTGATTCTGAGTTTTTTTATGGCAGACTCTTGATAACAATAACAACATAAGCCAAGTTCAATCGCCAGCTGGACTTCCTAATAAAGTCACGAGCGTTTGTTCTTCTGAAGATCGGAGGGAAAAGTTGTATCGTTACTGGAGTAAGAAATCAAGGAGGAATTTCGATAGGAAAATCAAGGTAAAAAATTTTCGAAGGAAATTCTGATTATTAGTTTTAATCATTTTTTTATTTTATACTTTTTATGAATTTTTTACTGCTAAGATATCATGAAAGAGGTAATGTTTGCAAGTAGAAGCAAATAACATTGAATTTGATTAACTGAGAATGTGTGGTGAATAAAACCGTACGAACGAGTGTCTATTTCCGAGTAAAACTCGAACAACAAATGGAAAAGGAGATTCTGATTCTTTTACTTGAAAATTTGATAAAAATCTTAGTTGAGAATTTGATAAAAAAAAACAGTTTCCATTCTTTTAGACCATATTTCGAGTTACAACTTACACGTCGTTTATTTATTTTATTTTATTTTTCAGTATGCTTGCAGAAAAGCACTGGCCGACAACCAACCGAGAGTTCGTGGCCGGTTTGCGAAAACCGAAGTATTCGAGAACTGTAAGAAGCAATGAGTCATATCATCTCATAGGGAGCAAGAGATAAAGCAAGCATTTGTAGTGTAGTTTTTAGGATTTGATGTATTAAATGAAAACAAACAAGTATTGTTAAGGTGATGATTAGTTGGTGTTTTATGTTTTAGTTTAATTGAAGCCTATGCAAGACTTTTGCACTCTATGTAATGACTTAAATCTTATTGTAGATCAAATTCTCTCATCTAGATTTTGTACAAAATTACTACTATATTTGGTGATGAAATAAATTAGATTAGATAGATAGTTTGTTGATAAAAGCACATTTCATGCCTCACACCAAATAAATTCAAATAAAGTCCACTTGGTTTGATTTATGTTAATGCTTATTTCATATGTTGCTACACAAGCATCTCATAACCAATAGGTATTTGTTAACAAGCTTATATATTCTTCAAACAAATAAAAATAAAAATAAAAAATAATGATATTTTAAAACATTATAAAATAAAATATATGATATGTATTTTCTTTAAGCAAAAATAGCTAAAAGAA